TTTAAATGTTTGAAAAACGGGTGATGCTTTATGTTTTAAAGAAAATAAGTCATTTCTATTTGATCTATAATATTTATTGTAGTGTTCCATGAGGGCGGTAATATTGGTGTCAATATCTAGTAATCTGCAATCATTTGAACCGATTTGAAAGGTAAAGGGAAAGCATTTTGAAACTGGGGCGGGCGAAACGGGGTAGGAGCCTAATCCGTTATTAAATTTTCATTTATTCGACTCTTCTATCCACTGGTAAAATGTCACGGTCCAGTCAATATTCTGTGAATTTACCTTTTTGTCTCCCACTTGCTTCTCTTTCTTTACCCTTCCCCCCACCAGCGCCCGATTTTCTCTCCCCCACCTCTTTCTCTAGCTCTGCAGCCGCCTCTACTGGCCGCCCCTCTTCACCTCCCTGCCTGGCGCACCCCTCCCCCTCCCTGCCCTACCTCGTCTTGCTCTTGGGGAACAATCGCCAGTGATTGAGGTTCACTCGATGTTAAGCTGGAAAACTGGGCTGTTATTTAGGAAGTCATTAATCACATCTCCTCCCCCCGGAAAGAGATGGCGGAGAAACCTGTGAAGTACAGTTTCTTACCAACCCCCTCCAAAATGTTGCGAATTGATAAACCTAAACACAATTTGACGACATGAAGGTGATAGCGATTTTTCCAGTAGGATTTTATTTTGAATTTGAAAGATTTCAGGGCACATTCAGGTAATCGTGTGCTTCTGTCTTGTTGTAGGTGTATATTATCATCTAAACTTTCATGGGGATGTAATTAGGTTTAATTAGATATTTTGTAAGTTATATATTCTCTAAGAACTGAATTAAATAGGAGATTTTTGTCCAAAGCCGGTTTGCTGCTGTCGAGCTGCTGAATTCTTAAGGGGGAAAAAAGCGTAACCTGGGTTGCTTTATTTAAATGGCTCTTTTCCCCCTAAATGAGATTATTTGGACAGGCTTATGTGTAAGGCACGCGTGTGCACATATATGACTGTGCTGTTTTTCTTAACGATTCACAAGGAACCTCCATTGTGTTTAAATAAAAGCACGAAATCAGCATTCTGTTTTATCGTAAAGAAGCGTCCCAAATTGTCTTTAAGATAACGTGTTTGAGTTTTTCGTGTTCATTCATAAATTATTTTGATGTCAGCATAGATGAAATGGCGATTGGTTATCTCTTCCTCTTGCCAGCCCCTTAAGGATCCGAGGTGAAATTAGTAGCAAGAAAGCATGTAATTGACAAAGTCACGTGTGCTCAGGGGGCCAGAAACTGGAGAGAGAAGAGAAAAAAATCAAAAGAGGGAAAGCACATTAGACCATGCGAGCTAAATTTGTGATCGCACAAAATCAAGATGTTAGATTGATGCAGAAGATCACTCCGTTGCAAAGGGAAAGTTTTCATCTCACGAGTTTGGAGCAGAGGGCCCGTGGGGCAACATGGCCGAAGGTTAATTTTCTTTTCTATTGTTTTACTGTGATTTTCTCTCTTCCTTTCTCTCCCCCTCCCCCTCTCCCACCCGTCTTTGCCCGTCCCCCCCTTCCTGGTTATACCCCAATACTGGGCATTTCCCCCACCCTCCATCGCGCGAGGGGGCTTTCTGCAACCTATTGTTACAGATCTCCAAAAATGTTTTGTACCGCCCACACTGATTCACAACTTGAAAAGCTTTCAGTGGGCTATTGTTTGAATTGTTTGAGTGTGATTAAGCGCAGTTTCAGTTAGTGAGCCCAAGAAAACTTTTATACACCTGCCCCCTCCCCCATCCCACCCCAACTTTAATTGAAAGTTATGGGGGGAGGGGAACGCACATTGCAGATAACCCCGGATTCGCTGCCGCCGCATGTGCATTTAAACTAGTTCTAACCATCTTCGCGATTTCTCTCTCCTCCTGGTGCCCGCCCGAGAGAAGAGTTTCGCTGAAAATTTCTCTTTGTGAATGGGATCAGTGTTAAATCAGCAATATGCAAGTAAAGTATCTCATGCTGTACTGTAATGTGTGCCTGAAAAAAAAAAATGGAGTTAAATGAAAAAGAACACGTCTGTACAGAACCGTGCAAGTGGATGTGATCGATAGAACAGTGTGGCTTCCCCTCCCCCGCTTCCCTTTTTAACTATTTTCATTTTAAATATTTTCTGTAGAAGGAAAGTAGGAATCTTCAATGAGCTGTATGGCAATACAGACTAACTGACTTTTTTGTCCTGTTCTACTCAGGCGGGGCAAGCAAAGGTGGTGGAGAAGAGCCCGGGAAGCTGCCGCAGCAGGCAGAGGAGGAATCCCAGGTTTTGCACGGAACTGGCCACTGTAAGTGGTTCAATGTGCGAATGGGATTTGGATTCATCTCCATGATAAACCGAGAGGGAAGACCCCTGGATATTCCAGTCGATGTATTCGTACACCAAGTAAGCCAACCTCCCCCCCCTCCTCCCCCGCCGCCCTTCACCTTTTTCCACGTGGAGTTGATAAAGTAGTTTTGTCAGTGGCTATACAATAATGTGCCCTTGGATGTATTGAAAGACAAAAATCTTCCTTCTAGTCACGAGTTAATACAGTTTTTAGGGTATATGTACGGCTCTCTTCCTGACTATTTTTCCTAAACAGAAAATGAAATCTATGAAATTTTACTGCTTGGGCGCTTGTTGACTTTAATAGCAAGTTCCCTCTCTTCATTCGACAGTGAAATTGCAGTGGTGTAGCTTCCGGTGTTATCCGTTACAATGTACTCTGTCGCCTACGCCTAGTAAATGAGTAGGTAAATGAATGAAGAAACGGCGGCCGTTTTAAGTTTTAAAAACACACGACACAATAGTTTGCTGTGGAAATCTGTAGGTCCCTGTATTTTAGACATCTCTAGTCAATAGCTTTTCCTGTTCACCTCTGCCTGTCCGGTAGACATTTATATATGTAAGTTAAAATAATTTGATTTTACACTAAAATAAAGTAGAACACTGTAAGCCTAGTATGGACTTGCAGAAATATAAGAGTGGATGCTTAGTAATCAAACATTTTAGAAATGTGCTTCATGTAGGACTTATGTCCCAGGATACTGTCTCTTTAAGAGACTGAACTAAAAAAACATGTGGCCAGAGGCGGCTCTAGCTTGTATGTTTAAAATGTGCTAGTCTGCTACTTCAGGGTAAATTTCCACCATTCCTTATAGTGTGTTGTAATTTTTTAAGATGCTTAATACCAAGCAGAATGTTATTGCTTCTCATTTTAAATTTTTTACGCAGAAACAAATACCTCATCCCCTTTCAATCCACTCATCTCTATTACTTAATCTCTTTATGGTAAAAAAGATAATTTACAGTTTGCAAGTTTGATCATTTCATTAAAGGAAGTTAAAGAACTATTCTCTGTAATTCTTAGATAGGCGTAAAGGGATTTAAGAGTGAAGAGGTTTACTTTGTCTTGACATCTAAGTTAAAAAGAACTCAATGAATGGCTATCAATATACTACAAGTTGACTGACAGTAGATGCAGGAAATAGTCTGTTTGCATGAAAAGTCTATATCTTATTTGATACTACGTTGCATGTTCCTGGTAATATTTACAGCCGCCTTTCTCCCTATGGAATATCATCTCCAAATTAAGTATATAAACAATAGAAACACATGAAACCATTCTGTTTTGATCTGTTGTCCTGTAGTGCTTGGTAGCTTCCTGACCTTGCTGTGTGGTGTGTGTTTTCCTTTCCTAAAGGCCTGGCCATCATTATTGGCTGTTTATATGTGGAAGGATCAGCATAATCTGTGAATTGAAACAGGGTTTAAATACATAAATAGAAGTGCACAGACAGGCTACTGAATTTTATGCCTCCTACTTTATGTTGCACAATGAAACCACATTTTCTGCAGAGTGACTGAAATCACTGACAGATCTAATTCTGTCAGGCCCTGGCTTTCCCCCCTTTGAACCTTCTTTAGGTTGTTAAATTGTTCTTTACGATCTCATAAATTTGTTTTATAGATGAATGAAAAAAATAGCCCTTTTCTTCTTTGATCACACCTTGTTATAATTTGGTTTTCTGTGTTTACCTTTAATATATTCAAATATTAGACATCTTATTAATTAAATACTTAGAACCACAAGACATCCAAATTTAAGCTGTTTAATGGTTATATATTGATAAAAATCCCTATAGCCACTAAATTTAGAAATGTTATATTGCTGAAAAAGTTTTATAGAGAGCAAACCATTTCCAGTGTACAGTAATTGATTATTAAAGACTTGCTTTAATCTTCTGTTACACATTATGTGTTTACTAAAGAACAATATTAAAATGACATGTGATAAAAATGCTCTTTAAATATATGTATTTGTATTCTTCAGAAGAATATATCTAGATACATTCTTAGGAAGAAGTATGTAAAAAGTCAATAAAACTTAAGTATTAGTGTTTTTTGTGATGTTAAAAGCCAGGCAGTGGTAATCTTTAACTTTAAAATTAGAAAGTGATATTTTAGGGAATTTTTTATGGTAAAAATATATCTAGGAAAAAATTACTTGGGTATCAATCACCTTATTTTTTTGCATCTTCACTTTGATACCTGAGTTTCTGTCTTATATTGTGACTTAATGTATATTACATATAAATTATATGAATAATTGTTTGGAAGAAGGCAGGAATCCTACTGATTTTAGCCAAGCAACTATAAGTAACAATTTGATGGTCATAAATGATATGTGTAGCATCATGTGAACATCGCTTTTGCTTATACAATCAGGTTGCAATTCAGGACAATTTTATAAATATCTTTTACATCTTTTAAATTGCTTATGCTGCCAATTTTACTGTCTGAGCATTTTGAAAGCGTACTAGGTTTTATGTATAATTATAAATTAGATTCCCTCCCCTATTATGTCTCTATATTCTTTTGTTACGAAAGAATAGGCATGGGTATTTTGGGAATTTTGAAATGTTTTCCTGGACTGAGATCTCATTATTTTAAATATATGACATGAGTGTTTTTTGAGTGTTCAGAAGTGTTTTTGGATTTAAAAAAAAAAATTTGAAAACGTTTTTAATACTATATATGTGGGGAAATAAAAATAAATTATTTTATTTTCTTTAAAATAATATTTTAAAATTCATGCTAAGTCACCAGGATATATTTTTTTTCTTTTGAAAATATTGATTGCAAAGAACTGCACATCAAAACAATTAAATTGCTAGGAAATTAACAATACATTTATATATATGTGTATATTATATATATATATATATATATATTTGTTCATTGTTACATAAATCTACTTAAAATTTTTTGGTAGTAATACTATCAAACTTCTAGTTCTCTAATGTTACCAGGTCCTCCAAAAGAAACACATGACTTAGGTATTGTACTTTATCTATCTTTAGATTATTTGATATATGCAGTGAAATTCTGCTGCCTGAAGATGGTGTGCAACCATTGGTAGTTTAAAATGACAGATTCATTTTAATTTCTAATGTTAACTTGTGATTTAAATCATCTTATATTTGTGGACTATTAATAAATTCAAATGTATTTTGACACATAATACTGAAACATTGGTGGCATTCAATAAGGAATATTTTATTTTTTACAAACTTAACAATACTGTGTAAATATATTTGTGAATTTTGGCAGCACACAGTTTGAGGTGTTCCTTAAAATTTTAATATTTGACAATTTTGATGGTTTAATTTGTCAGTATGATTAATTTGTGGGAATATCTTACTTAAAAATCCAATGGGAAACAGATTTGTCTCTCAATTGAAGGAAGGGTGTACATGGTTAATACAGATTTGTAGCCTAGGTTCCTGCTAAGGTGATTTCATCAATTAGAATATGACCATTTCTTAAGTACTAATAATTAATACTCCTATCAGTTTATTGTTAATAAATTTTTAAATGTGCATCCACAGTTAGATTGTGGGCTGACATGTTTAAATGATCTGGAAAGGTCTCTGACAACTTCTTGAAATATTATAAGCTTTTAATAGGCTTAAATAATGATGGTACTTTAGAAGAATTGCATGGTAATTAAACATTAGGTCTTTTTTGGGGAAGAGCAATATTCCCCAATAACTACCAGTTGATATTTGCTATCCTGTAAGTTTTCCTTACATATATTTTGACATTTATGTCCAGTCATTTTCTCTTCTAATAAGATAAAATGATCATTTGAAATTTATTTTGTTTAGGGGAAAAATAGAATCCATTCTCCTTATTGCCCTCTCTTTAGCTTATTTGCACAATAATATTTCTTCAATTATTGGATTGTATTTGAAATTCTTGGCCATCAAATACGGTACAAAGATTTTTTGACATAAATTATTTCTTTTTTCACAATTTATGTAAGAATTTTTTTCTAAGACAGAAAAATTCAAGATGATAGCAATTTAGCTAGTATTACTCAGTAGGCTTAAGTATTTTTTAATAATTTGGTTTTGAGTTCTTCATTTACCTTTGTAGTATTGATGTTTCCTTCCTATGCCCTGTATTTCTGACCTGTAGTTTAATCTTTATGGAGGATACAAATGTCCATATTAGAAAGATTTTGTGTTCCTTTTATTTCTTTGCTTAGAAAACATCTCAAAGAGTAATGGAAATAGAATAAATAAGAAAAATTATTGTAACGTAAATTTAAAGTATTTTATTAATAGTATAAGATTTGAAAACATTTGCAGATGACTAATTTATTATTTTATAAGTACCGCATGCTAACTGATTGCGCCACTGGAGCTCCGGCCACTATTATTTTAAATGTTTATTTTATTTGAGAGAGAGAGAGAAACATCAATTTGTTGTTCTACTTATTTATGTGTTCATTTGTTGATTCTTGTATGTGCCTGTACCTGGGATGGAGCCCACAACCTTTGTATATGGGTACGATCCTCTAAACAACTGAGCTACCCACCCAGGGTGGACATGACTAATTAATATATATGAAAATTTCAAGTATTATACACAATTCAGTTGATGTATCATAAAGTACGTATTGTAAATGTTTTCAATATTAATTAATTACACAACCTGTGAAAACAGATTTACTCCAATATGTTCATGCTTAAGGGCTTTTCATAGCATTTTATCTACTATATTTTTGTCATAGTTAGGCATGAAAACATTTTTCACATGCAGAATAGATGTGATTATTATTATTCTCAGGACTGTTGATTATTTTAATTTCAAAAAGTTTATTTAGACAGAGAAATCTTAGAAATTTTAAAACGTGAACATATGATAATTGCAGCTCATTTCTTAAAAACCTATAGATTTTAATACTTTGAAAATAGTTCCTCAGCCTATCAAAGTTCCATGATTTGCCCAGTTGACCAATTTGTAAGAATCCCAAATGAAATGCCCTTAATGTAATCACATTTAAAAGCACTTAAATCAAAGTTTTATAAAAGATATTGGATACTTCCCTTCTG